AACGAGACCAATCTACATGTATACTACTATTTGAACAGGATCCATCTGTCTGTTTGTTTGTTTGTTTGTCCGCCACGTCGTGTAGTGGGTTCAATTTGTTACGGCTACAGGGCAAACGGTATGCCGTAGGAGGTTGAAATTTGCACAGCTTCTAGGTGACAGAGCGGGTCAGCGCCTTTTCTAGGTTCCGACTCGCTGGGGTGCACGGTTCGCGCGTGGCGGGCGCCGGAAGAACGCCAATGAAATTTTGATCGGTTCGTAGATCTTCATTGAGAGCCGGGGTCGACAAACTTTGTGAGCTAAATGCATGCCAATCGGTGGCGGGTGCCTCGCATTGGCGGATGGGCAAGTTTTTTAATTTAAATAAATAGTGGCGAGAGAATGTGTTGATTTTCGTTTAATGGGAACAGTTTGCGATACGAATTTACAAATGCACCACGTTTGCCGCAAGGCGTCACATTGGTCACAGGGCGTCATTTTTGCCGCAAATCGCACAGTTTTGTCAAATATAGTCCGATATGGGTGCAATTTGGTGCCAAGATGCATGCTCAGCCAACAGGTTCAGATGCGCCGCGTTTGTCGCAACGGGCCACATTTGCCACAAAGCGCCATTTCCGACAAATACGATTAAGCGTAATGGAATGGCACGAATAGGGACAGGGCTGGGAACACTTAAAGTCTGATATTTTAGTACTGATTGGATCCAATTATTCTGTGACCTGACATGACCCGGCGGTGTTGGTAGGGGTAGGGGTAGGAGTAGTGGTAGGAGTAGTGGTAGGGGTAGTGGTAGGGTAGGGGTAGGGGTAGGGGTAGTGGTAGGAGTAGTAGTAGGGGTAGGGGTAGTGGTAGGGGTAGTAGTAGTGGTAGGGGTAGTAGTAGGGGTAGTAGTAGGGGTAGTGGTAGGGGTAGTGGTAGGGGTAGGAGCATGGGTAGTAGTAGTGGTAGGGGTAGGAGTATGGGTAGGAGTAGTGGTAGGGGTAGTGGCATGGGTGGGGGTAGTGGTAGGGGTAGTGGTAGGGGTAGTGGTAGGGGTAGGGGTAGTGGTAGGGGTAGGGGTAGGGGGTAGTGGTGGAGGCAAAAGCAGAATTGTGGCCCGGGCTGATCCCATCGGACGAGAGGTGACCAATGTGACCTGGCCTGACCCAAAGTGACCGGGGCTGACTCCCTTGGCCTTTCTAGACCCCGTATCAGCCAAATTTCAGCCAACAAAGCCCTCTGAACAGTTCTTTTTTAATTCTCTTCACATTTCCGTCCATATCTATGCTTCTAGACGACACATCGACTTGAATCGAATACCATTCGAAAGCAAATTGGCTGGTGCCGCATTTTTTTTCCTACCACGCAGCAAAGCAAGTGGCGCAGCCGCTTGAACTATTTGAACTACTACTACTATTTGAACTACTATTTGAACAGGATCCGTCTGTTTGTCTGTCCGCCACGCCGTGTAGTGGGTTCAATTTAGCCGGCCTACAGGGCAGACGGTATATCGTAGAGGGGGTTGAAATTTGCACACCTTTTAGGTGACAGAGCGGGTCAGCGCCTTTTCTGGGTTCCGACTCACTGGGGTGCACGGTTCGCGCGTGCGGCGCGCTGGAAGAACGCCAATGGAATTTTGATCGGTTCTTATATCTTCATTGAGAGCCGGGGTCGACAAACTTTGTGGACTAAATGCATGCCGATCGGTGGCGAGTGCCTCGCATTGGCGGATCGGCAAGTTATGAATTTGAATGAAAAGTGGCGAAAAAATGTGTTGACTGTCGCTAAATGGGTACAGTTTGTGATGGGAAGTCATTGGCGATAGAAGCACGGTGTTTGGCGATAGACGATAAAACGTCAAATATTGGCGAATTTCCAGAGTTCGCCTCCAAATCACCGCATATTATTTTAAAAAATAAACAAAACAAAGCAAAAAACATCGTTACGAAATATTTCGTAATCTGATTAATTTAACCTTCCAACGTTTCATATTAAGCACTCAAATATAAAGTGTTCCTGATGAAAATATCTTCTGAACCACATCTCGCACGACCTTTGCTCAGGGGTGGAGATCTGTCAAAATGTCAGGGGGGGGGTCCAGGCTGCGCAGATGGAGGCGGGCTGGATGCAGTACCATTGACTTACATAGCAGTAATTCGTTTTCAGGGTGGGGGGGGGTCCTGACCCCCCCCCCCCCCCCGAGATCACCACCTCTGTCGCCGCCGTAGCGGCTCCAGTGTTTTAATATGCAAATGGCACGCGCCATTTTGCATATTTTCACGCAGTCGGAATTTCGTCGGTGCTATTGTTGTCGTGTGAATGAACTCGTTGAAATTAGAAGGAGAAAATGGCGGACAATATAGATTGATCGATTCGGAACAACTTTTAATTCGACTTCCGTATTATTCGGATTTTGCTTATTCGTAACTTCACCAGTCGATCGAGTCGGATTCAATTCGTTCGCAACATTTTTTGGTCCTCCGGGTCGTGGATAACGTAATTTGTGTGTCGTCTCGTTCGCTCTAACGTAATGTTCACGAATAACGTAGCCTTTGAGCGTTATATCGTCGTTTGCTCTAACGTCATTATCGTGAATTCAGTTACGTTTTGAGTTTCGCATCGTTCGCACTTAACGTAATGACCACAGATAACGTAACGTTCCGCGCATTGCGTGGCTTCTAAGCATAACAACGTATGCTCTGAATAATCGTGCTGCTCAACATCAGCAACTAATCAACATGGATCAATCACCGGAAGCAGCAAGATTGAAGCGGATCCGAGCAAACAAGAAGTCGTGTTTGACACGCATCTGCAATCGAGCCGAGAATCTGATCGCAGTTCGAGGCAGTCGTACCATTCTCCAAGAGCTGCTCGGTGATATTGACCGTGCAATGGACACAGTGACGGACTCCAATGAGTCATACCTGCTGGTATTGACGGACGAGGGAGAGAAATCGAAGGCAAACGAATACATGATTGAAATCGAAGCACAGCGGAACAGTATCGTTCAAAAGATAATGACTTATCTTCAATCGAGATCTGACGAGGCCGCTTCTGAAGCTAGTGCAGCAGCGTCCCATCGTTCGACGGCAGCTGTGGCTCATTCACATGAGGCTGTGATTCAAGCTCATCTGACCGCCTTGAAGAGTCGCCAAGAGGAAAAACGACTTCAGTGCGAAAAGGAATTTAAGCTGAAGATTCAGGCGGCTAGAGAAGCGGCTGAAACAGCCGAACTTGAAGCTCGACTGCGGCAAGAAGCCATTGAGTCAGGGACAGTCAATCTGGATAGAACTGATGACATCAGAGACGAAGCTGCTGTTGCCGATTGTGAAGTTGAGCATGAACGCGCGAACGTTGGTGACAGCAACCTGAGAACAGCAGACTGGATCAGGAGGCTGAACAGTCCTGAGGCCTCACCAGCTCAACAGAGAGAGACGACAGCGCGTCACACCGATCTCCACAGCGTGCCGCGCATAGCACTGCCGAAGTTCTCGGGTGAGCCTCTGGAGTGGCCAAAGTGGATTGGACTTTTCGAGGCGCTGATTCACAAGCAACCAGGGCTGTCAAACGCAGAAAAAATCGTTCATCTACAGTCGGCAGTCACTGGTCTGGCGCAGAAAACAATCGAAGGCATGCTATACGATGGCGAGCTCTACCCGCAGGCGCTACAAGCTCTCCAAAGTCGATTCGGCAGGAGTGACGATATCGTTTTTGCACACCTGAGGGCTGTTTTCGAGAGCCAACCCCTGAAGCACCTCGACGCAGCAGCCCTAGAACAGTTTCAAGCTCGTCTCCATTCCGCGGTTACGACTCTCCAATCGCTCGGCTATCATGGTGACGTCACGAGCCGCGAGAACTTGCGACGAGCAGTCGTGAAGCTGCCGATTCAACTCCGTCACGAGTGGGGAAAACGAGCAGTAGAGCTGGAGCCAAGGCAAGTCACACTGTCGGATTTGGATGACTGGCTAGCTCTACAAGTCCGGATATTGATCAGCAGCTCAATGTCTGAGCGTGAAGGAAACAGCGGCATCAGCTCAGCGGCAGACAGTCAGCGCCGACCGCCGGCGTTGCGTCAGAGGCATGGATCGAGTGCGCGCTCGGCTCTCGCCACGGTGGCCACTCAGCATAGCTCCCAGCCGGCGTGCCCCCTCTGCAATCGCCGACACGGCTTGGCTCGCTGCAATGCATTTGCCCGAAAGTCGGTGTCGGAACGAGCTCGATACATCGCTGACAATGACAGATGTTTTCGCTGCTTGGAGACGGGACACATCTCGAGAAGGTGCCCGCCCACATCTGTCCAACAGTGCAGTTCTGCCGGCTGTGGAGGCAGACACCACCAGTTACTACATGGCAGCCAGCGTGTTTTCGAGCGTCGTGGAACGGAGCAGGCTGCCGCGCTCGAGCAAACCCAACAAGATATGGATCCAGCAGAGCAGCACTCAACTAATCGCACGATCGGAGCCGCGCTGAATGCGACCAGAACGTCTACACTTCTTCAAGTCGTACCAGTGCGTGTGTACGGGCCAGACGGCGAGTGCAGTGACACGCACGCACTACTGGACGCCGGAGCACAAACCTCTCTCTGCACCGATCGGCTGAGGCAGCGCCTGGGTATCATCGGAGAGCGCCAGGAGCTGCAACTCAACAACGTCGAAGGGGCCGGCGAGAAGAGAACTGTGCATCTATTTGAACTGCAGGTATCGCCAATGTCGGATGGAAACGGAAGAGCGGATATTACCGTACAAGAGGTATACTCCGTTCCTAAGCTGAACGTGCAGCCGCAAACAATCGACTGGAGTCGGCGACACGAGTGGCTACATCTCTCCGATCTCGACATTCCAGACACTAGTGACAAGCCGATCGAACTACTGTTAGGCGCTAACGTCACTGAAGCAATAGTGCAGCACGAGGCACGCGTTGGTAGGCCAGGCCAGCCAGTGGCCGTTCGTACAGCCTTTGGTTGGTGTCTAAGCGGCAACATAACACAGCTGGTCTCACCTGGTGCTCGTCACGTCATGCACATGGCACGAGTTGACACTCGAGAAGAAGAGCTGAGCTCTCTGGTGAAGGAATGGTGGTCCACCGAGTCCTTCGGCACCAAATTCAGCGAGAACGTCGCCTCATCAGCTGAAGATAGGCGCGCGGAGAAGCTGCTCGCTGAGACGACGAAATGGCGCGGGGACAGGTACGAGACCGGTCTACTGTGGAGATCAGACGACGTCTCCATGCCAGACAACTACACAGCAGCACTGAATCGGCTTGAGAGCACGGAAAAAAGACTTCTCCGCCAACCAGGGACGGCAGCTGCATGCAAAGATACCTTTCGACAGTATCTGGACAAGGGATACGCTCGAATGCTCTGCCCAGAAGAACTCGAGAGAGCAGACAAGAAACGATGGTTCCTGCCGCACCATGCAGTGGTCAACCAAAACAAGCCAGGAAAGATTCGTGTGGTATTCGATGCTGCAGCCAGCTACAGAGGAACCTCGCTGAACAGTCAGCTTCTCACTGGCCCTGACTTCCTTCAGACGATTCCCGGCGTTCTGCTGAGATTCAGGGAGCAGCAAGTCGGTGTTTCGGCCGACATCGAACAGATGTACCATCAGGTGGCGGCAGTGAAGGACGATCAGCCGGCACTCAGCTTTCTTTGGCGAGATTTGGACAACAACCGGCCTCCTGATGTGTACCAAATGGACCGTATCATCTTTGGAGCCCGGTGCTCACCGGCTTCGGCATCGTATGCCCTTCGCAAGACCGCCAATGACAAGGCCGCTGACACTGACTCGGACAGAGCGGCGACAGAAGCGGTCCTCTGTAACTTTTATATGGACGACTTCCTCAGCTCGGAGCCAAACAGCGACTCGGCTATTACTAGCCTCACAGCAGTGACAGCACTCGTATCTCGAGGAGGCTTCAGACTCACCAAATGGCTCAGCAATTCTCGTGACGTCCTCGCCGCTGTGCCAGAGTCCGAACGTACACCATCAGCGGCAGATCTGACCGTGCAGCTGCCGACAGAACGCGTCCTCGGTTTGCTGTGGGACGCAGAGACTGACCTGCTAAGGCTGCATGTTCATCACCGAACTGTGCCTCCTACAAAACGGGGTATCCTTCAGATGGCTGCCTCCATCTACGATCCACTCGGATTCGCCTCTCCATTCACTATCGTCGCAAGAATCGTGATGCAGAAGCTGTGGGCACTGAAACTCGACTGGGACTGTGAGCTCACAGGAACGACGGCGGAAGAATGGACTCGTTGGACGGGAGAATTGGCGTGCCTAGAAGCAATCACCGTTCCTCGGAGCTTCAAAGCATGCGACTCACCTGCACATGATCGGCAGCTTCACATATTTTGTGATGCTTCCGAGCTCGCCTTCGGGGCCGTGGCCTACCTCAGAGAGACATCGGCTGACGGCACCGTGTCTGTCTCTTTCGTCATGAGCAAGACTCGAGTCGCTCCATTAAAGAAGATGACTATCGTTCGGCTTGAAACTCAAGCGGCTGTGCTAGCCGTTCGACTGGCAGACGCCATCAAAAGAGAACTGAAGCTCGCAATTGATGGAGTCAACTTTTGGAGCGACAGTATGGTGGTTCTCCAATACATCAACAACGAAAGTAGACGCTTCCACACGTTCATCGCCAACCGAATAGCTGAGATTCGCCAAGGCTCAGAACCATCGCGGTGGCGGCATGTCCCAGGATACCTAAACCCGGCGGACGACTGCTCGCGGGGACTACCGGCTTCTCAGTTGACACCGGATAGCCGCTGGATTCAAGGACCTGCCTTCCTTCGCCAGCCGCCGGATCAATGGCCTTCAGAAGTTCGCCAAAAGGCCATAAACGATGGTGATCCCGAGGTCAGGGTCGTGAATCTCACCTCCACTGATCTCAGCACAAGGATTGTTCTCCCTGACCCCAGCAGGTTTTCAAGCTGGACTCGCTACAAACGCTCCGTCGCCTGGCTGATGCGGTTTCTCTGCAACTTCGTGGCCAGACACGGCTCTCAAGAAGAGCAAGAATGGCGCCGTGCTGGCACGCTCTCGGTGGCAGAGTTGAACGATGCAGAAAACCCTATTCTGCGCAAGATGCAAAATGATCAGTATCATCAGGAACTGATCGACCTGAAGAACGGCAGATCGGTCTCTAGCAAAAGTAGTCTGCTGGCACTCTCACCCTGGCTGGATGAAGACGGTGTCATTCGGGTCGGTGGTCGGCTCGTCAACGCACCACTCCCAGCCACGGCTCGCCATCCAGTGATCCTGTCTCGCAGCAGTGAAGTGACTCGATTAGTAGTCACGCACTTCCACAGCCAGCTTCTGCACGCTAGCGCCGAACACGTCATCAATGAAGCCAGACAGCTGTACTGGATCCCCAGGGCACGGGCGACAGTGCGGAAGATCCTGTCAGCCTGCCCGCTCTGTCGACGAAGACGAGCCCAGCCTCAAATGCCAAGAATGGCTGCGCTTCCGAAAGCGCGCTTAGCTGTGACACACCCATTCTGCAACGTCGGCATCGATTACTTCGGCCCGATACTCACCAAAGTAGGCAGGAAAACGGAGAAGCGATGCTGTCTGCTGGTGACATGTATGTCTACCAGAGCAGTCCATCTCGAACTATCGACATCTTTGAGCACCGAATCGTTCCTCATGGCCTTCCAGCGTTTCGTCGCTCGTCGCGGTAGGCCAGCATCGGTGTACTCGGATAACGGAACCAACTTCCGCCGAGGGGAAGCTGAACTCCGACGTCTTCTAACCGGCCTAAATCAAGGCTGCATCAGTGATCGGCTCGCCCAAGACAACATCCGCTGGTTTTTCAATCCTCCCACCGCATGCCATATGGGAGGTATTTGGGAGCGAATGGTGGCCACCGTGAAACGAGCACTCCGAGTAGTCCTTGGAAACTTCATCGTTCATGAAGAAGCTCTACTGACCGCTATCGCAGAAGTAGAGGCAGTCATCAACAGTCGACCTTTGACGCACGTCAGCTCAGAGGCCAGTGACTTTGAAGCGCTCACTCCCAGTCACATCCTTCTCGGCAGACCGGCGTGTCTCCTGCCGTCTCAGCTCAGTGACTCATCACGCATGAATGTCAGGAGTCACTGGCGGCAAGCACGAGCCATAGCCACACAGTTCTGGCGAAGATGGCTCAGGGAATACGTCCCCACCCTCGTTCAGCGCACCAAATGGACGTCAGACGTTCGGAACCTGCGCGTCGGAGACTTGGTGCTGCTAGCCGGCGACGACACGCCAAAGGGATTGTGGCCGCTGGCTCGAGTCGCTCAGGTGTACCCTGGACCCGATGGTCGTGTCCGTTCTGTGGATATAGTGACCGCTAAAGGACGTCTCCGCCGTCCTGCTAGCAAAGTGTGTCTCCTCGAGGGGAGTGATGATGATGGTGATTAGTGGTGCAACTGCGCTCTGCCCAGTGTGTGTATCGATGGGCATGGTGCCAAGGGTGACGACGGGTCACTCTTGGGGGGAGGATGTCGCCGCCGTAGCGGCTCCAGTGTGTTATGGCACGCGCCATTTTGCATATTTTCACGCAGTCGGAATTTCGTCGGTGCTATTGTTGTCGTGTGAATGAACTCGTTGAAATTAGAAGGAGAAACTGGCGGACAATATAGATTGATCGATTCGGAACAAGTTTAATTCGACTTCCGTATTGTTCGGATTTTGCTTATTCGCAACTTTACCGGTCGATCGGGCCGGATTCAATTCGTTCGCAACACGAGGGAACCAAAACTATTTCTGAAATGTTCAAACGGTTTCTAAATGCGAAATAACTCCAAAATCTACCCTAGAAACACGTTGAACTCGCAAGAGTGAACAAAGGTCATCAAAGGTCAGTGACCTGACTGACCTTTACGTGACCTTGATACCCACATGGGATCAACATCCTTTCACCTGTTTGATCGCTTAAAGCCACAAAAAGACAATAAAACGCGCTCTACTCGAAATACGCCAAAACGCGATTCCGGCCAAACATGGTCTCGGAAAACAGGTCACAAGTCAAAGGCCTTTTGAGTCAGGGTCATATAAATTATAGGGTAGGCGTTATATTGATTAGATCGAGGGTACTGAAAGTTTCGTCGCAATCAGCCGCTTTTTGCGCGAGTTATTTGCGAAAAACTGAGGGTAGGAGGTCTGTTGGACACCCTCCTACAAGTGCAAAAGTTAACCCTCGCCGGCACAGGCCATTTTGCGTCCTTCGACGGCACAAGGGGGGGGTTGGTACGACCCCCCTTCGCGTTTGGCCCCTGATCGAGCTAGAGCTTCGCGGAAAAACGAGCGTGTTGCCCGTCACGAGAGGAAGCCGATGATACCCAATTTTAAGGTCCTGGGTCATCGGGTGACCTTCCAGGTCAGGCCAATGACCCGAAAACCGGGAAAATCGGGACCTGTTGGAAAGTTGTAAAGTGTGGCTGCTGTGTGGTTTTCCGGGGTGCTGATCACGAATATCGTGTTAGTTTTGATCAGTTAGTTTTGATCAGAGATGATTTCTTTAAGCATTTAGACCAGGTCGGGTCAGGTCAGGTCAACCGGTGGGGGTTGTGACGGGTATTCGTAATACGTGTCAACCGCCTCTGACAGCTTCGTAACATGTTACGAAGGCACCAAAACTACTTCGTAAATGCTCAAATGGTTGCTAAATTCGAATTCAGCTCCAAAAACTAGCCTAGAAACATGTAAAACTCGAAAAAGTGAACCGAGGTCACCCGAGGTCACCAAAGGTCAGTGACCTGACCTGACCTTCAGGTGACCTTGACACCCACTGTAATGTATGAGAGCAACATCAAATCACATGTTTGAACGTTTGAAACCACGAAAAGCTTGCAAACGCGCGGCTAATGCGAGCCGACATACGCCGAATCGCGATTCCGGCCAAACATGGTCTCGGAAAAGAGGTCACAGGTCAAGAGTCATTTGGGTCAGGGTCATGAAATTTTCAGGGTAGGTGTAAAATTGATCAATGCGAGGGTACTGAAAGTTTTGTCGCGATCGGCCGCTTTTTGCGCGAGGTATTCGCGAAAAAAAACCTTAAGGAGGGTTGCATTAACCTGTCACATTGCTCCAACAGACGGTAAATAACTTTTGAAAATACCTATCTCCAATTTTAGTGTTTTCTGAACCAAAGTTTTGCGAGGAATCCGATGGTGTGGTCCCTGAAATCTGAAAAATTTCCATTTTGGAGATAGCACCTATTTTTTTGAAAAGTAAATATTCGTCATGCAAAAAAGTCAAATAAGTTGAAAATATAATGAGTGAATATTTATACTAACACTAGAACGTATCGAACATGAATTAGTGATAAATTTTATCTGAGATGATACTATATCTGCTCATACATGTACATGAATAAGTACATTAACCCTCGTCGGCCGAGAAGGGGTGGGGCGGATGCCGCCTCATAGGGGTTTTTCGCGATAGCTCAAAACACGCTGAGGGAAAACAGCTGAAACTTGGCATACCTAATATTTTATTCAAGCTGGATCTTTTGACACCAACTGCGTTTTCAGGTCAGGTCAGGTCACTGACCTATGACGTCATAAATGAACCTCTGCACGGTCCTCAGAAGTTGCAACTTTGCAACGCCCTCAGTGCCAGAGGAACTTTCACAGGAAGATGAAACTTACAGGACGTAGTATCCTTTAGAGGTCTCACAAATTGTATATCTCAGATTTTTCCCAAATGTCACATGAGGTCAGTTCGGTCACGTGACCTCACCATAATAAGTCAATGGAGGGAAATATGAAAACTGTTATTTGTTATTTTGACGCCGGAAATTGTCTAAAAACTGTCCCAAGCACATGAAATCGTGGTTTCATGCACTCTTTGTAAGGTCCGATCATGAAACCACGATTTCATGTGCTTGGGATAGTTTTAGATCATTTCCGGCGCCAAAATAACAGTTTCAATATTTCCCCCATTGACTTATAATGGTGAGGTCACGTGACCGACCTGACCTCATGTGACATTTAGGTTAAATCCGAGATAAACAAGTTGTGAGACCTCAGAAGGATACTACGTCCTGTAACTTTCATCTTCCTGTGAAAGTTCCTCTGGCACTGAGGGCGTTGCAAAGTTGCAACATCTGAGGACTTCGCAGAGGTTTATTTATGACGTCATAGGTCAGTGACCTGACCTGACCTGAAAACGCAGTTGAGGTCAAAAGATCCAGTTTGAATAAAAGATTAGGTATACCAAGTTTCAGCTGTCTACCCTAAGTGAGTTTTAAGCTATCGCGAAAAGCCCTATGAGGCGGCACCCGCCCCACCCCTTCTCGGCCGACGAGGGTTAATGTACTAGTTCATGTACATTTATGCGCAGATATAGTATCATCTCAGCTAAAATATATCTCTAATTCATGTTCGACACATTCTAGTGTTGTTACAAAAATTAACTCATTATATTTTCAATTTATTTGACTATTATGCCTGACGAATATCTATTTTTCAAAAAACAGGTGCTATCTCCAAAATGGAAATTTTCCGGATCTCGGGGATCACACTATCGGATTCCTTGCAAAATTTTGGTCCAGAAAACACTAAAATTGGAGATAGGTATTTTCAAAAGTTATTTACCGTCTTTTGGGGCAATGTGCTGTGCCGGCGAGGGTTAAGGCAGGCCGTTGACCAATGACGTCAAAAGTGAACCTCTGTTAGGTCCCAAAATGTCGCGACGTCGCAGCACCCTTAGTGCCAGGGGACTTTTCAACAGGGAATGAAGCTTATATGATCTAGTACTATCTCCCAGAGGCCTCACAACTTGTATGTAGCTATCTCGTATTTTTCTTAAGAGTCACCTGAAGTCAGGTCGGTCATGCAACCTCACGATTATTAATCAATTAGGAAATATGAAAGCTGTTATTTTGGCGCCGGGAGCCATCTAAAGCTGTCTCAAGCGCATTAATTCGCGATTTTATACAATCTTTGCAAGCCCCAGCATTCAATTTTCCATTATTAAAGTTAGGCGACTTAATTTATGACGTCACTAAGGTCACAGGAGTTTTCACCAAAAAGTCCCGATCAAATTGACCTAGCGAGTCGGGAAGCCACC